TGGAGTGAGAAGCATAAAGAAGCATTCGAGAAGCTAAAGAAGAAGCTATGCGAGGCACCGATACTTTCTCTACCCGATGGAGTTGAAGACTTCGCCGTTTATAGCGATGCGTCTGGGGTTGGATTGGGTTGTGTTTTGACCCAAAGAGAAAAGGTGATAGCATATGCGTCTCGACAGCTGAAGGAGCATGAAAAGAATTACCCGACTCATGATTTGGAGTTGGCAGCGGTAGTTTTCGCTCTGAAAATATGGAGGCATTACCTCTATGGCACAGAGTGCAAACTTTTCACTGATCATAAGAGTCTCCAATATCTCTTTAATCAGAAGGAATTGAATATGAGGCAACGACGCTGGCTGGAATTACTTAAGGACTACGACTGTGAGATACTTTACCATCCCGGTAAAGCTAATGTTGTTGCTGATGCTCTCAGTCGGAAAGTCAATCTTGAAAGGAAAAGGCCAAGAGCATTGAGAATTGAAGTTGTCTCGACCATTGTGGAAAGTATAAAGAAAGCTCAAGAGGAAGCTTCTGAGAAAAATGACCGAAAGGAGGAACGTTTGGGTAAAACGTTGGTGTTTGGTACAAACGGTCATGGACTGAAGGTATTCCAAGATCGTATTTGGGTACCTAAGTCAGGAGGAATTAGAGATCTTCTGATGGAAGAAGCTCACAAGACCATGTATTCGATTCATCCCGGTAGCACTAAAATGTATAGGGACCTGAAACCCTTCTACTGGTGGCCGACGATGAAGCTTGATATTGCAAAGTATGTGGCCGAGTGTGTGACTTGCGCGAGAGTCAAAACACAACATTAGAAACCGTATGGGAGTTTAGAACCTTTACCTGTGCCTATGGGTAAGTGGGAAGACATTGCCATGGATTTTGTCACTAAACTGCCCAGAACAAAGAATGGTCACGACATAATTTGGGTGGTCGTCGATCGATTCACTAAGAGTGCGCATTTCATAGCAGCCATGGAGAAATGGTCTATGGAAAAGCTTGCGAATTCTTATGTGAAGGAAATTGTGAGACTTCACGGTGTTCCGCTAACAATTGTGTCGGATCGTGATAGTCGTTTCACCTCAAGGTTTTGGAAAAGTCTACAAGAGGAAATGGGTACCAAGTTATGTTTAAGTACAGCTTACCATCCGCAGACTGATGGTCAGAGTGAAAGAACGATACAAACACTTGAAGATATGCTGAGAGCATGTACCTATATTGACCACAAGTGCACCAGACGTCAAAGGACTTTCACTCAACCACTTCCTATGTGAAATAGGCATAAGGAGCTAGTATGTGAGATAAAGGGCAAAAAAAGTAATAAAAAACAAATAAAGTTTGATCAATATCTCAAGGTATTTGCAATTTTAAAAGATAAGGGACAAGAAGGTTTTTAGATAAAAATGCATTAAAATCTTTTCATAAACTTTAAACTAAACACTCCCCCAGATCAAAAAAGAGATAGCTTGCCGATAATATTCTTATTTTAATCTTCTAATTCAAACTCTTTATAAAAATCCCTCTTCATGTTCTCTAATTCCATTATCTGTCTTCTATTACCATCTTCAATCTTCTCATATATATATATATATATATATATATATATATATATATATATATATATATATATATATATATCACTAAATTTGTTAATAGAGTCTGCAAACAATTACAACCTCAGTTACCTCACAAATCAGAAACAAAATAATCCTCCTTAATTACTAAAATCAATTGAAAACTTGAAAATAAGAAATCAAGAAATATCATAAATAAAATCAGATATTCGTATTTTCAGCAACTTATATCACAGATTTTCACCAACTTAAATACCATATTCGTTTTACCTTTTATCAAATATTTAGATTTTCTAGAGAATGAAACAAGAGTATTTCCAAGAACTTTAACCTTTATGAATTAGGAGAATTAATAAAGGCTTACCAGAAATGGAGAATGAAATTATAGGATAAACAAGAGTCTGTAAAAGGAATTCCACAAGGAATCTAGATTTAGGAGAACTGCTGAACCGAAACCACGAATTAAGATACTAGAAACTAACAGTGATACGGTGAATGGTGATCTGAATTCCACAATGAATAATGAATATTGTAAAAATGAAGATATGCTGAGAGCATGTACCTTGGAGTTCCTAGGTAATTGGGATGAACATTTACCTTTGATAGAATTTTCCTATAACAATAGTTTTCACTCGAGCATTAAGATGGCACCTTACCAAGCTTTGTATGGACAAAAATGTCGTACGCCGTCTTGTTGGCTTGAGGCTGGGGAAAAGCAGTTTATGGGACCGGAGATGGTTCATCAAACTGCTGAAAAATTGAAAGTAATTAGGGAAAGAATGTTAGCGGCTCAGGATCGTCAAAAGAGCTATGCTGACAAAAAGCGAAGACCGATGACTTTTGAAGTTGGGGATTCGGTTTTGCTTAAAGTCTCGCCGTGGAAGGGACTTATAAGATTTGGTAAAAGGGGAAAGTTGAGTCCAAGGTTTATTGGACCGTTTAAAGTTCTTCAGAGGATTGGGAACCAAGCTTACAAGCTCGAATTACCCGAAGAACTGAATGGAATTCATAACACTTTTCATGTGTGTTATTTACGGAAGTTCACGGGGGAAGTTCCCGACATGATTCCACTTTCGGAGTTGAGAATTGACGAGAACAAAAGGTTGATTGAAGAACCAGAGGCAATCGTTGACCGAAAGACTAAGAAGTTGCGACGCAAGATGGTCGAGTTAGTTCTTGTCCGATGGAAACACACGAATGGGCCGAATCTCACCTGGGAGACGGAGAGTGACATGTTGAGTCGCTATCCGCATTTGTTTGTTGATGTGTGATTCCGGGGACGGAATCATTCTAAGGTGGAGAGAATTGTAACGCCTGTGTTTCTGGGCTTGCCATTTTTAGCAATGTAATGGTCTAGGTTAACCTTTGTAACCCGTTTTGAAATAATAAGATTGTATTATTTGAGTATTATGTGTTTTGTGCTTAATTGCTTAATTATGTGGTTTGATTAATTAAGAATGAAAATAAGCGTCAAAATTTAAGTGTAAAATAAACTTGATATCTTTAGATAATGTTGTAGTAGTTGAAACAAGGTTTCCGAAGATATAAAGAATGCCGAAATCCGAGTTATAACGAAGAAGTTATGACCTGTCGAAGTTTCGCGACAGAACTGGCACGACACAGCGCGACGTAAAAAGTGAATTTACGTTAGAGCGATATTTAGCCTTAGCAATCTAAATGAAAGTCGTAGAGTACGTCAAACCATGAGCGTGCATAAAAAGAACGCCCAAATCTGACTTCGTATGAGGAAGTTATGATTTTTCGAAGTTTCGACTTAGCAGTATGCAGCCCGAATGCTCGATTTGAGACCGAGCGGTTTTTAGCCGAAACAATCTAAATGAGAATTGAAGATCTCATTAATTGTAGTAAAACGATAAAAAGATAGGCAAAAACGGACGTCGGATGAAGAAGTTATGATTTTATAACGGAGTTTTCCTGTCCCGGCCTACTAAAAATAAATAATAAAAAATAAAGTCAAAATTAGCCGACGGAGTCTAAACGAAAGTTGTAGATCGTAGTCTCACCTACGCGTGGATACAAAGAGCGTCAAAAACGGAGTTCGTATGAGGAAGATATGAATTTTTGAAGTTTATTTAATAAATTCGGTATTTAATTTAAATAAAAATTCGCTGATATTATCCATGGGGGGGGGGGGGGGTCACCGGCCTTATCCCCGTTACGCCCCGCGTAAATCACAGATCCAGCCTCCTACAAATAGGATGCGAGGGGTCCGGGTTTAATTGCTAATTTTCTCTCGTTTTTGTGCCGAAGCTCTGCGTTTTTACCCCCGAAGCCATCCCGAAGCCCCGGTAATATTCCCGAGTCCCGAAGCGAGTCCCGAGATCCCGAAGATCCCGAGAAGTGCGGTTTCCGAGCCGAAGCTCTGCCCGCGAGAAGTTCGATTTTTGTGGAGATCTTCCAGATCTGCTGTGGATTACTACTTCTGCAAGTCGTAGTGCTGTCCGATCATCTTCTGATCAAGTGAGTGTATACTACCTTTCATAAACGCAATAATAATACAAGTATGGTTTGAGTGTATTAAGTTTATCGTCGTTTATACGTGCGAAGGCGTTGTTACTTTCTCCTAACGTTTGAGAGCTTCGGCACGGAGCGTTTGAGAGCTTCTAGCTTCTAGTGTTTGACAAAACGCTCCATTTTGAACAAAAAACATCGTTCGGCACTACAAGCTTCTAACATTTAGTTTAAACAAAACGCTACAAATAAAAAATGCTACTTCAAGTAGCGTTTAACAAAACGCTACATGCTACCCGCTACAAATTAATTTTGCCGAACATGCTTATATTAATATATTAATACATATTGACCCCACGACTGAGGTTCAAAACAAAATCAAAATATATGAACAGACAACAAAATTTGATTGTCTAATAAAAAAATCAATGGTTATACAAGCGGTTACATGCTCTGCACCTTTTTACAAATCCCACGTATTAGATGAATTCTAACAATGACAAGATTTGATTGTGCCCAATGATGTGTTCGTATAACTGTCTTGTGTTTTGAACTCACAACTTGACCACATATGTTAATTAAAAGAGCATGAAAGATGATAAAATTGTTATTTGTGTGGGATTCACCATGTAATATATTGGTAAAAATTATAGAAGATGTTAATACTCATTTATTGTTAGAACTTTAGAAGAGTTTCTATGATGGTTGTAGATTATTTATGCAAATCGTTTGCCAAAAGAACCATGAATCATTAATGTACCAATAATGACGACAAACAAAATTGAATTACTCATGACCATTTTATATTTAATGTTGAAAGTATAGTAAAAAGAAGTTGATTCGTAAGTAACAACAATTTGTATAATTCTATACAACATTGAAAAACTGTCGTTAAAGTTAACTTCTCATATTAAAAATGATGATAAAACACCTTTTTGTATTTTTGGGATTAAGCCAAAATAAAAACCCTAAAAAAGATCTATTGTGATTTTAGCCACCAAAATAAGAACACCACCTTGAAAGCGTAGTATTTACAAAAGCCCCCATAAGCGGCAAGCACTCTGTTTAACAGTGAAGATGAATGTGTATTCATGGTTTCGACTTAGCAAAAAGGGATCTTCATCGCAATCAGCAACGACAACGGCAACAAGCAATCAAAACAATGAAGAACAGTTGTATGGAATCACTGAGGAGTTGATTGATCTCATCAAGTCGTTCACTCTTGAAACATTCAAGAACTTCAATCTCCAAGGTACTCCCTTCGTCATTCGTGCTTCGTAGTTTTTATATGTTATTATTTTATGATGATCAATGAGTTGGGGCCTTCTTAGATGAACAAGGAGCCGATGATGGAGCTGAATCAACTTCTGGGAATATACAAAAGGATTTGTCTGATTGGCAAGAGAAACATGCCGTCCTTGTCCTATCAAAGGCCAAGGTTAGGATTTCTTTTTACTTTGTAATTACGTTTTAGGGTTTTATTTGCTTTAATGAATCCGCCTCTTGTTCTTATGCCATTGCCGTAGCCCTAGATGTTTTGGCAATCTATTTACTAGCGATGAACAATATCTACCATATGACTAGGAAATTAGGGGGTGTTTGGATTTGCGGATTAAAGTGATTATCGTTGCTTCACCTATTGGAATCAAATAATTAGATAATCAGATGCAAGAAGAACTTAAGAACAAAGTGTTGAAGTTGGTGTATAATTGCTGCAGATTGGACTTCGTTATCAAGTATCTATTTTCATAGAAAATTGAAAGAATTAAGAATCCATGGAGCTTTTCAAGTTAATATGGATAGAGTAGTAGTATTATAAGGCAAACATTCCTTTGGTGTTTAGTTTGAACATTCTAGGTGTAGTTTTCTTTCCCCTTTTAACCTTAAGAAATGGTCAGAGGTGCTCTTCCTTATAAATATCAGATTAAAGTTGAATCTCCCATTGATGAATTCAATGTGGTGGATTCTCTCTTTATGTTCGTATTATAAATCCAATCTTTGTATTCCTGATGAGAAAATTTATGGGGAATAACAACATACTTTACTTTCACCAATAATAGTAAAAGTAAAAGTAAAAAATTATTTTTTCGTTTAAACTAAAGATATTAAATGTTCTTCTCTGACAGGAACTATCACAACTTAGGTTTAGATTATGTCCTCGCTACTTGAAAGAAGGACAATTTTGGAGAATTTATTTTATCCTTGTGAAGAACTATGTTGCAAAGTAAGATTTTTACCTTTTATGAATCTTTTTTTTATTTCTAATTAATTTGCAAAAGCAATAGAGGTAAGTTGATTGGTATTTTGATAATCAGATATGAGTTGCATGCCATACGAATGGAGAAACTTAAACAGATTGCATCAGAGAATAAGAAAAAAGACTCAAATACAAATGGATATGAAGTTGAAATGTTGGAATCAAGAAAGCCAATACATCCCAAACCTACAACTTCCCTTAAATAGAAGGTGAATCATTCCAAAAGTTAAAACGGAAACAAGTTCATGAAACATGAATTTTTATGTATTTTTTTTCTTTTGTATATACTTTTTAAGGTTATATCATCTTGAAAGCATCGTGGTATCTCCTTATGGATAGCTTTATAAATCATGAAAACAAGTAGTTACTAAACGATACATGAAGATGGGGACAAAATGGTCATTTGTATGGATTTTAACAGAGCCCATGGACTAAAATTGCAATCGAAAATGATCTTAGGGATGAAAAAAAAAAAAATGAAACTATTTGATTGTATTGTATCCATCAAAAGTGATAAAGCACCAACCACATGGATAGTTTTTTGTAATTTAGTCGATTTATTCTTCTTTTGTCTCAAACCATGTGTTTTCAATTCTCATCATACCATTAACATTACCATACTATGGATCAACTGTCAAGTTAAGGTTACACACTTTTTTCTGTTAAAATAAAGGGAACATCATTTATTATATTTAATATTGATGTTATATATTTACTAGAGTTGATTTATTAACAACAGAAAATAAAAACCAGAAATATACTTCCATAAAGAAAACCTAAATAATCGACTTGAGTGGTTATGGACATACAACTTTTATTGCACAAGGTACAGTTATTTTACACGAGAAAGAAAAAAACATTTAACTTTCAGAGTGGGTTCTTCGTCTTCATGATTGAAGTTATCTCAACAATGGAATCTGTAAGTTTTTGGGGGCTATTTTGATTCTCATATGATATAGGGGTTTGAAAAGTTGCACTGAAAGCCAAAGATCGCAGTAAAAGTGTAAAACACTTGTGAATCATAGTGCAAGTGGTCAGTCGAGTCAGTTTTACTTTTTACCACTAAGATTTTAACTTTATCTGCAACAGTTCATTTCCTTCGCAGAATATTCACATGTTTACCTCATCATCACAATCTACATAATAAAATCAAGATTGTGTTTTTTATTTTTGAGGTGACATACTTTCTTTTAATCGGTTAATAACAATTCTTGTAAAAAAATTTATATATAGAGAAATAGAATAGTAAAAGATGACGAGCAGATTGATAGCAAGCATGTCAGAAAATATAAATAGTAGAAAGTGAGTATGTGGACGTGATTTAAAATGTTAATAAATTTCAATAGCACATTGATGAATGGACTGTCTACCAAGTCAGAACTGACCGACCATAGGCTTCAGTACCAATAACATTTTACATCGACACTAGAAGCCCTAAAGTCTAAAGTCTAAACAAAAACACACGAAAACTGGGCTTTTTTATTCTGTTAAATGTATGTGGTATTATAACATACTTTAGTCTATGTAAAAGGAAAAAAAAAAAAAAAAGTATATTAGTATGTAAAATAAATTATTTTTTCTATTAACTGGAAGTAAAAGAATACATTGTTTAACATACATTATACAGATTGACGCTTTTTGTGGCGTAAAAAATATGTGAAATTATAGATTTTTTTGACGAATTTTATGGTTTAAACAATATATGAAAGCCACCCAAGTTTGATATATTTTTCATATTGACCATGGTCACAAATAAAAAAACATCGTGAAAGTTTAATAATTTTGAGTGAAATATTATTGTCAGTTTAGTACAAAAACTTCGTTGAAGCCACTCAATTCTTGATAACTTCTTTGTATTGATTTGTGGTAAATCAAAGTGGTCGACCTGACAAAAACTAATGACTTAAAAGTTGGTACATATTTTACCGGTGAAATTTTTTATATGATTTGTCAATAATCATTTAACTTTGTTAACGAAATATCACTAATATTTTAATTTTGGTTAAAAATTTTCACTAATTCTTTTTGTATATATTTTACCACATATTTTGCCATTGAACTTTTTTATACATATTATACCAATAATCTTACAAATTTATTAAAAGAAAGAAAAGAAATACTCGTGACCTTAAGGGAGGCGTTGACTCTACCATTGAGCCAATGCGTGATTTCAGCTTATAGCTACTAACTTTTAAAGAAAAATTGAAAATTAATGAGACTTACAATCAAACATCGACTCTCTACCTTGTTTGATGAAGGCTTTACTCTCGATATTGTATATAATGTAAATTTCAGATATGTATTTTAGTATCTGTTAGTATACATATGTATTATTTGCATATTAATATGTGTTGTGTATAAAATAAAGTATTATTACAAATATTTTTTCAAAAAGTTACGTATTTTTGCATATAAATATGCACTTTTACATTTAAAACTATATTTTTTACATATACTTATGTATTTTTAACATATTATCTATGTTATATTATGTATAAATATGTATTTTTATATTTAAACCATATTTGTATGTATTAATATATATTTTTAAATTTAAACCATATTTTTATATATAAATATATATGTATTAACATTTTCAAATTTAAAAATATGTTTTTTATGTAAATATATAGTATTAAATATAAAAAATACATATTTATATGTAAAAATATAGTTTTAAATGTATAAAAATATGCATTTATGCATAACAATACAATGAAAATTAACTTATTGCTAAATGATACCTTATTTACTGACTTCTTATAAACTTATACAATAAGCTATATATATATATATATATATATATATATATATATATATATATATATATATATATATATATATATATATAATGTTATGTAAAATTGTACTTTTCTACATGCAGAAACATATTATTAATGGGTATACGGGCCTACCCTACCATAGGGTGATAACACATGAAGCATATACAACAGTATCAGGTCATTATGATTTTAAAAAAGGACACAATTTATGAAATCACATGTGATTTATTGTTCTGATTTTCACAGGTTGCCATTTTCATCAAGCAAGACAAGAGTTAAACCTGGGTGTGCCAGTACATCCCCTTAAATATTACACCGTGAAACAATAATTTATCGTTCTTTCATTTGAATATTTGGTTGCAACAATAATGTATACCCCAATTAAAAATCTTGTAATAATACACATACCCTCATAATAATAAAAAATTTCGATAAATACATTATCCTGACCTTAAATCTTTAATACTAGTAGTACATTACCTAACAAAATGTTCTTTTTGAATCAATAGTGTTTTGTAAAAAGAATAGTTGACATTAACCCTTGAAAGATACCCTGATCAAAAATCTTGTCACAATACATACTCTGATTGACGATTTTTGTTTATATATTATTTGATTATAGCAAAAGGGTACATCTTTAATGCATGAGGTTTGATGAAGTCTTGAAAAATGAACAGCATAAAACTCTGGCAATTATTTATTATTACTTGCAAATCTAGACAAACATGGAACAATGAAGACTAAAAAGTTACAGATTTTCTTCTTTCCCATTCTACCCTAAAGGTTAGTGTGTAATTCAATCACTAAACTACACAACTTTTGAGTTTTTTTCCTTTACATTTCACTAGGAAACCAAAGGGTATAAGCGGAATTACAACAACGCCCTCTAATATGTCCATCCCATCCTCCTTCCTTATTGGGATTGTACTTGTACCCACTCATAACGTCCTCCAAGCGGCTTTTCATTCACTATGTCAAAGTTGTACCTTCATAAACATCAGAAATATATATATATATATATATATATATATATATATATATTTATAGCCAATAAATAACGAGCTAAATGCATAAAATAGCAACGTAATTTATTTATCAAAAACTTTTTTTTAAAAGTATATTGCTATTTCTTGCATTTAAAAATTAGGGTTAAGAAGATGATGTGTACTTGTCAGCAAACCGTCTTTGTTGTTCCTGGTCATGACGGGTAAAAAACTCCTCAATCTCCTGTGCCAAAGGCATTGAATTCTGGGATATTCTAGAAGCTTCTAGATTCATGGATCGTGTGCTAGAACCAGGGGTATATATGTCATATATGTCTTTTATCAAGCTACAAGGAGTGCTTTCTCGGGTGCTCCTGTAATTATTAGTAAACAAACCATCATTTTCAAAACAAAAAATCAACACCGTGTTTGACTATTTGTCAAATATAGCTAGCATCCATTTGACCATTTGTTGTAATAAAGATAATGGGCAAAATCGTAATAATAGCTAGATATTATTTCCAAAAATGGCAAGTCATGGATTCGAAAGGAGTACTTGTGCATAACTGCAAATAATGGACCAATTTATGCACTAATATGACAAAATACATTTAGAAACTTTACTTTTTTATTTTATTATTTTCTTACATTACTACAAAAAAATAAACTCAGGGTATGGACAGTGGACCATGTAGGCTGGTTTTTTCACAAGATTACAATTTTAATTGGGGGTGGGTGGGGATCACACACCATATCTATGATGAAGAAGTTTTATTTTATTTTTTATAAAAAAAAAATATATATATATATGACAGTGGAAGTTAAACATCCAAATATCCAATTATTGTCCTTTGTTTCTGTACTATTCAATATTCACTAACATATGAAAAAAAAAAAAAAAACAACTTATGTGGACCCCTCCTTCATGAATGCTATTAAAGTCGATGTTTGTGTATGCCTCTAAAGTCTAAACTAGTAAAAACAAAAAGTTGGACAAAAACTGGTTACTATTTTTGTTCATGGAAGTAAATAAGAAGTTTTTATAACTTATAAGAAAACTGATAACAGAAGTAAATGTAAATACTATTTACTACCTGAACTTACTTAAACAGCTAATTATCTGAATCTCTGATTATTCAAGTCACAATAATCACTTAAAAAAATACATATCCAAACACCCATAGCACATTCTAATCTTAAAAAAGACTGAATCTTTCCTAATAACACACAAGAACTAGACCTATCAAAGACGATAGCTTGATATGGAAAGAGAAAACAGTTCATAATAAATGGGACCATGTGGGTCTTCATAATATCTGAGTAAACGCCTCTGATTATTTAATATTTATAAAAAAATAAAATAAATAAAAAAAGAAGCTAGAGGCCTATTGAAGGAAGTCTTTTTCACCACTCACTATCCAATTTTGTAGTTTTGTGTAGTGTAAAGTTAAAGATTTTTAATAGAAAACCATAATGGCTGTGGTTATCCTATGTTGGAAAACATGGGCCCACTCCACTACTGTAATAAGTGATTGTGATCGGTTATCATTTATCATCATTAGTGATTGTGGTTTAATGTTCGTATTATAAAACGAAATAGCGTCAAATCTTGGCTTTATTGATAATGAATAAAAATAGATAACGGATGATGAGAGAACATCTTATCTGTCCATAGGCCCACTAAATCAAAATTCAAAACTTAACTCATTTCACTTTGTATTTTACCATATCAATTATTTTAGCATGTTTTTTCACCAAGATTTTCAGCTTATATTTGACGGAAAAAAAA